AGCAGCAGGTGCATACTCTGATCCAGCAATGTGTGTAGTTCAATGCACCCGAAACTTGAGTCGCATCAGTAAAAATCTTTTTCCCGCATTTGAAGTAGCATCTAGCAAATCCAGAAAAAGAAAAGCAGGGAAAAACTCTAGTAGAATGAATCATGTTTCTGATGGTCCAGGACATGTCACTCAGAAAAAGCGAGCTGGTATGCCACATGGACTTTCAAACAGTCACAAGAGGCTTGGGAAGGTTAATGGAGATAATTATGATTATAACGACACCTGGGTTCAGTGTGATGCTTGCTGCAAGTGGCGGAAGCTTCCAGAAAGTAGTAGTTCTGATGCTAGTGCAGCATGGTTTTGTAGCATGAATGCCGATCCTTTCTACCAGAGTTGTAGTGTTCCTGAAGAATCCTGGGATAATTGCCGGCCAATAACATATTTACTGGGATTTTACACAAAGGAGACATCTGGAGGAGAGGAACAAAACGTTTCTTTCTTCATCAGTGTACTTAAAGAGCATTATGCCTTGATAAACTCCATAACAAAGAAATCCCTAAATTGGTTGGCTAAACTTCCTTCTGACAAGCTCTCAGCAATGGAGACAATTGGTTTGCGAAGTCCTTTCATAAGCACCTGTGTAACGCCTGGTGAGGATGCCTATGGGTTTCAAAAAATATTTCAAGCATTTGGTCTCAAAAGAAGAGTAGAAAAGGGTGTTAATAGGTGGTATTACCCACGAAATCTTCACAATATGAGTTTCGACGTTGCTGCTCTCAGAATCGCTCTTTGTGCACCATTGGATTCAGTTAGGCTGTATCTTTCAAGAGCAACCCTAATTGTTGTTCCAACCAACTTAGTTGATCATTGGAAAACCCAAATCCAGAAGCATGTAAGGCCTGGTCAGCTACGGGTTTATTTTTGGAATGACCATAGGAAGCCTTCTGCACACAGTCTAGCTTGGGACTACGATGTTGTCATAACCACATTCAATCGTTTAAGTGCAGAGTGGGGCCCTCGTAAGAAAAGTGCATTGATGCAAGTGCATTGGCTTAGAGTCATGTTAGATGAGGGGCATACCCTTGGCTCAAGTCTTAGCTTGACAAACAAAATGCAGATGGCAGTTTCGTTGATGGCTTCAAACCGTTGGATATTGACTGGAACTCCAACTCCTAATACACCCAACAGTCAGCTGTCGCATCTTCAACCATTGCTTAAGTTCCTTCATGAGGAAGCTTATGGGAAGAATCATAAGTCTTGGGAAGCTGGGATTCTTAGGCCTTTTGAAGCAAAAATGGAAGAAGGACGATCTCGTTTGTTGCATTTACTGCATAGGTGCATGATTAGTGCAAGAAAGGTAGATTTGCAGACTATTCCACCCTGCATCAAGAAAGTTACTTATCTTGATTTTACAGAGGAGCATGCAAGAAGTTACAACGAATTGGTAGTTACAGTGCGGCGCAATATATTAATGGCTGACTGGAATGATCCTTCTCATGTTGAGAGTCTTTTGAATCCAAAACAGTGGAAATTTCGAAGTACAACTATTGGAAATGTCAGACTATCTTGCTGTGTGGCTGGGCATATAAAAGTAACAGATGCTGGTGAAGATATTCAAGAAACTATGGATATTCTAGCTGAAGATGGTCTAGATCCCACGTCTGAGGAGTATGCTTTTATAAAATATAATCTCCTTTATGGTGGCAACTGTATAAGGTAATATTAGTTGTTGTCACTCCTGCCACAAAATTATAGATTTGCCAGAAAATTTTGATTACTGATTATTGATTGCATATTATGTTATTAGATGCAAGGAATGGTGTCGGTTACCTGTCATTACACCATGTAGGCATCTTTTGTGCCTCGATTGTGTTGGTTTGGACAGTGAAAGGTGTACATATCCTGGCTGTGGTCACTTATATGAGATGGAAACTCCGGATGCACTAACTCGGCCAGAAAATCCCAATCCTAAGTGGCCTGTTCCCAAAGATCTTATTGAGTTACAACCCTCATATAAACAGGCAAGACAAGTTTAACTATTTTCATTTTGCTTTTTGTTTTTTTTGGGACGAACTTTACCGATGTTTGCCTTTTGCTTTATGCAGGATAACTGGGATCCTGATTGGCAGTCAACATCTAGCAGTAAAGTCACCTATGTTGTACAGAAATTGAAAGCACTGCAGGAAGCTAATAGCAATGTTGATTGCCCTCCGGATGACAACAATAATGCCATGCGCACTGACAATTTAGTTTGTCTGTCTGAGATGAGCAATTCAAAAGGACTGAGGCAAGTTCATGACTTTAAAAGGACCACCAAGACTCATGAAACAAATTTGGAAAAAGTTTTGGTATTTTCTCAATTTCTTGAGCATATACATGTTATTGAACAGCAGGTGACTATTGTATACCATACCCTGTTATGGATTTGTGTTGTTATGTGTGTTTGTATAAGTAATGGGATTTCAACTTCATTCTTTTTTTGTCAGTTGACCATTGCTGGTATTAAATATGCTGGGATGTATAGTCCAATGCATTCTAGCAACAAGGTACATGTTTTTTCCTCTTCTATTATATATTTTGTTTATTGTCATATGCTCTTAGTAATTCAAATTCTTATTTTTTGGTGTAAAACTAATTTACTTTCATTGGTTCAGATGAAGTCACTGGCGATGTTCCAGCATGATACTAGTTGCACGGTTCTTTTGATGGATGGAAGTGCTGCACTGGGTCTCGATCTGAGCTTTGTAACACATGTATTTTTAATGGAACCAGTAATTCAAATTCTTATTTTTTGGTGTAAAACTAATTTACTTTCATTGGTTCAGATGAAGTCACTGGCGATGTTCCAGCATGATGCTAGTTGCACGGTTCTTTTGATGGATGGAAGTGCTGCACTGGGGCTCGATCTGAGCTTTGTAACACATGTATTTTTAATGGAACCAATATGGGACAGAAGGTTATCATTCTCAAATTCCTAATATCATGTTTCTTTTTTTTTTTCTAAAAAAAATATCACATGCCCCTTTCACAAAAATAAATAAATAACAACTCTTCTACTTGGAAAAGAACTTTCACTTTCTGTTCTAACCTGTCTATTTCACAGATCAAAGCTATTTATTTGATTCACTACATAGTTACTTTAATAGTTTATAAATACCGTAGTCAAAATGTTTCCCACATGACATTAATTTGTTCTGTTGGTTGAAACTTCTTTAGCATGGAGGAACAAGTTGTTAGTCGTGCTCATCGGATGGGTGCTACTCGTCCAATACACGTGGAAACTCTTGCAATGCGCGGTACAATTGAAGAGCAAATGCTGGAGTTCTTACAGGTAAACTCTAGCAATGGTTTCAGTTCGTAGTGTTTAACTTGTGAGCTATATACTTACTTATGTTGCTTCAGGATGCTGATGAGTGCAGAAGATTTTTAAAGGAGGAGGTTGGAAAATCTGACCCTAAAGGGGCACGAACTCGCCGTTCATTACATGATTTTGCTGAGAGCAATTATCTGTCTCAAATTAGCTTTGTGCGGACAAATCCTATGTAAAGGTTTGTGCATGATGTTTTATGGCATATCATTGTGCTAGATCTCTGTGTGATACCTTGAATTAGCATAAAATACACGTGCTGGCTTTGGGACAGCAATCGTGGTTGACATTTGTGTTTTGTGAGGATAGTTTTATTGTTGGAAGTTTTCCCTCCCTCCCCCGTCTGTTGGATATGGAAAAATCTAGAATATAACTTTATGC